TTTGTAATAATTTATTCTAATTTTTGTTTTTTTTTTTAATTTTTTTTAATTAATTATTTTTTTTTTCATCATTTATAAAATATAAATAAATTTTTTTTTTTTTATTTCAGTTGTCTATTATATTTTTTTTTTATAATTGAAAGGCTTGATAAAGATAATAAAAAATAATAATAAAAAAAAAAAAAATTTGATTCTAGATTCAACTTTCAAAGAGGTTAGGACTCTGGGGTATTACTTCAACTTCGTCATCATCTTCGAAGCTAATTAAATCTACAGAGTCTTTATTTTTTTTTGCTTTAGAAATACTGTCACACTCCTCCAATTCCTTAATCTCCCTAAGATTTCTTTCTAATCGTTCTTTAAACAAGTGTTCTATAGGTAAACAAATTTTATCCACTATTAAATAAAAGCAAAATGTATCAAAATATATGTATGATTATAATATTCTTTTACAAATGTTTGTTAAAGACATCAAGTAGAGCAACGAATGATAGGAAGTTTCAAGATAATTATTAGTGTTTTCATTCAACTTTTCAATGTTAATTAATTCCTGGTTATCATTTTTATTTACAAATTTTTCAAAATTTAATTTTTCTTCCTCCATTAAAACAGAAACCAACTTTTCACCTAATTCAGTGAAGGTATCTTGCTGATCAGGTAAATCGCAGCCATCAAAGTGATCGATTAAATCATGTTTATTCAAGGATGGAAGTATAAAAACTGGTATTTCTAATGATCTTTTGAAATAATTTGAGATTGTATGTATTATAATTATTACTTGACATGTTCATTGGCATCTTTTTGTGCTTGAAAGCAAGTTAGTTGAAGTCTATTTACATTTTTATCAAAACAGCTGAGAATCAATCCAAAAAAATTTAAATCCAATTGTTGTAGAGAATTTTGAGTTCCAACGTCCACATGGCTTTATATACACATAATATTTTTTTAAAATGGAAATGATAAGAATGACTTGATGTATGTGTGTATAGAAATATATATTATTTTTTTTTTTACCTTGGAAAAACCTTAAAAAAATTTGGAAATAAAAGAAAAGTTATTATTCAGAAACAAAAAAAGAAGGTGTATTACAGATATATGGGGATGTGAATGACACCATCCAATTACTTTTAACCCTTTACTTTCAGCATTTTCTATAGCCAAAGACAGTTGTTCTGGTTCAATTTCTACTCTATCTCTTCTTTTATCTCTTCTTACTACAAACTGTAGAAGTATATTTTTTTAATTTATTTATTTTTTTTTAATTTTTTTTTTCTGCTTCTTTTTATTTTTATTTTTACTTGAATGTTTGTAACATAGGCATTTATAGAGTGTTGTTGTGTTTTAAAAAAGCCCAGTAAAAGTGAACAAACTTCTTCATTGTCAGTAGTTAAAGAATGAGCTAAAATTAAGTTAAAGGCATTTGAAGTAATAAAAACTGATGATAATACTTTCATTTTTTTTTACAAAAAAAGTCAAAAAAATTTTGTATGTAGGGTTTTATAAAAAGTAAATTTTGAATAGTTAATGTTAGAATAGAAGTTTAAATAAAGAAGTTGAATGATTTTTAGAGAAAGTTTAAGTAGGAAAAAAATTTTAAGTGAAAATGAGAATGTTTTCCTTGAAATTAAAAAAAAAAATACATTTAAACTTGAGGTGAAAAAAGATTTAATTAATTTGGTATGAGAAAAAAGCAGCTGGAATTTAATGAAAAAAAAGAAAGTTTTGTAAAATTGAGAAAAGAAGGGGTGGTTGGAATCAGTTTAGTTAATTTGCATAAAATAGATGGAGTAACTATTGGTTTAGTTGGATTGAGGAATTTTGTTGATTAGAACTGAGGGATTTTATTGATTTGAATTGAGGGATTTTATTGAGGGATTTTATTGAGGGATTTTATTGACTTGGATTGAGGGATTTTATTTTAGCGAAGTTTGTTATTTTAAGAGCAAATCACAAAAAAAAAAATTGAGATATAACTCCTATTAAAACCCAGGTAAACTTTTTGCATTTGCAGCTTAGGGTTTTATCGATGGAATTCCGAAAAAAAGGACGAAAAATGGATTTTAAAAAAAAGGAAAAAAAAAAAAGAGGAAAAAA